TTAGTGACAGATTCATTTGAAGCACAAAAAAAAAACCAATGGATTTTTATTTTATTTTGCTTTTTAAAATTTTAAACTTTTTATTTTGAAATAACTTTAGCCTTGGGCAAAAGTTGCAAAATGGTTCAGAGAGTTCCCACATAGCCTTCACCTAGTTCCCTGAATGGTAACATCTTATATTACCTTGATCCATTGATTCAAAAGTAGGAAATTAACATAACCAATCAGTTCTAATATAACAAAGTACAATAAATTCATTGATTTTTTTCAAGTTTCACATTACAACTTTTAAGAAACTACCATTTGAATTTCATTGTAGTATTAAAGAAAAGTATCAGGGATCCCTGGGTGGCGCAGCGGTTTGGCGCCTGCCTTTGGCCCAGGGCGCGATCCTGGAGACCCGGGATCGAATCCCACGTCAGGCTCCCGGTGCATGGAGCCTGCTTCTTCCTCTGCCTATGTCTCTGCCTCTCTTTCTCTCTGTGTGACTATCATAAATAAATAAAAAAAATTAAAAAAAAATTATTAAAGAAAAGTATCAATAAATATCTGAAGAACTATCAATTTTTCTATTTACTTCCCTTTTCTGACTGTATGTGTGAAGTCAACAAATTTTTTTATAATAAATTTATTTTTTATTGGTGTTCAATTTGCCAACATACAGAATAACACCCAGTGCTCATCCTGTCAAGCGCCCCCCTCAGTGCCCATCACCCAATCACCCCCACCCCCCGCCCTCCTCCCCCTCCACCACCCCCAGTTTATTTCCCAGAGTTAGGAGTCTCTATGTTCCGTCTCCCTTTCTGATATTTCCTACCCATTTCCTCTCTCTTCCCTTCTATTCCCTTTCACTATTATCTATATTCCCCAAATGAATGAGAACACACAATGTTTGTCCTTCTCCGATTGACTCATTTCACTCAGCATAATACCCTCCAGTTCCATGTGAAGTCAAAAATTTTTATATAAAAAATTTTTTATATACTACAACTAAAATTACATATTGCAACAGAGTGAATGTAGAAGCAGATATGAGAATCCAGCTGGTTTCTATTAAGCTGGACATCAAGTAGATTTGCAAAAATGTAGAACAAGGCCACTCTTCCAACAAAATATTTTTGTTCTAGGACAGATAGCTATTTTTCATAAAAATGCTATATGTAAGTATGTAATGGATTTGCCATTATTTTAAAGAAACATTACATTTTTTTCCAGTGTTAGTTTTGAATATGGTAAATATTGGTAGATATAACTAAAAAAAAAGCATTTGAGATACTCAATATTTTTAAAGAATGCAAAGGGGTCCCAAGGGCAAGTTAATTGAGAACAGCTTCCCTAAAGACCCATTGTATGTAATGGGTTAACTTTTCTACGATGCTTCGAGGCTAGTACTATCTACATACCATCTTTGGGAGAACTGAGGAAAATCATCATTCAAATTATGTATTATAGGGCTTATTTTTCTCACAGGACCCCGGTAGGGAAAGCTTGTTCTAGACATTAATAAGTTAATAGATGTAAAATATGTTGAACCGTGATTAGCTGATAAGCCCTCTGTAGATGTGAGCTGTTATTATTGCTTTAATTAATTGTTGCAATCATTGGACAGTTATGTGTATTCAACTATCTTCTCTCAGCTGGTGGCTTGATTTTTAATTGTCTTTATGGTGTGCCCTTTTGTGTAGAAATTTTAAGCTTCAATCTGTATTCAAATTTATCAGCATTGTCTCTCATACTCTATTCTTTTTATGTCTTGTAGAAGAAATTCTTCCCTTCCCCAAAGTTATAAAGATGTGATTTTATATTTCCCTCTAAAAGTTTTCAAGTTTCCAAGGATTCCTTTTCACCAACTCACGGACCATGACCTCCATGGTGCCAAATTCAGTGGTCAGTCTTTTGTCTTCATCTTATTGACCCCTGAGCAGCCTTTGACACAGTTGATGCTGCCTTAATTCCTGAAATTCTTTCTCCTTGGCTTCTGGGATATTCCTCTTTTAGGATTGTTCTTCTGTACATAGGCTTCTTTGTCCTTCTCTCCTTTGGGAGGTCTTCCTCCTAAGTGTCGAAGAGTCCTGGACCACCAGCTTTGGACCTCTTCTCTTTTCTATCTCTACTCACTCTCTCTCTGTTCTCATCCAGTTTTGTAGCTTTAAATATCTATACACCGATGACTCCAAAGCTTTGTATCTTAATTCTAGCCTCTCCTCTCAATTCTGTTTCCTTCAACTGCCGATGGGATGTCCAATAAGCATCTCAAACTTAATTTGGCCCAAACAGAATCATTGATTTCTCCAAGTTGTTTCTTCCATGTGGCCAAATCATACATTCTGTTGCTTAATCTTGGAACATTGGAGTTTTCTCGTTCTCTTTCTCTCACAATTCGCATCCAGAATTTAAGGAAATATTGCTTTTTCCTTCAGAATATGTCCTAAATCTTAACTGCTTTATGCCTCCTCCATTGTACCACCTTAGTCCAAGAAGTGATTGTCTTTCACGGGAGCTGTTAACAAATGCCAACGGGAGTACAGATTTTCTTGCCCCCGTCCCCCCACCTGTTTTCCACCCAACGGGCAGAACGGACATTCTGAGACGTGCTTAAGATGTCACTTTCCCCGATCTCCCGCTTCTCGTGGCTTCTGTTTCACTTGGGATGAAATCCAAAGTCCTTACCTGGGCAACAGTGTCCACCAGGGTTGAGGGTGCTGCTGCTTTTCCACCTTCCTTCCTTCCCACATCAGCTGCGAAAGTCGCAGCCTGAAAGTGTACAAATCACTTCCTCTGATACCTGTAGTCTAGCGTTCATTCCCATGGCCACATGGACCTGAACGTGGTCATCTGGTGGGCTCAGGGACCCCAGTAGGGAAAGCTTGCCAGACAGTATGGTCGCTATCACAGATTGTCGTTCTGGTCTCTCTCACGTTGTGTTCTCCTACTTCCATATGAATACGCCCAGCACCTCCGTAAGGGGGATGTTCTCAAGTCTCATGCAGTCACTGTGTCCAGCTCAGTGTTCACAGTCTGCACGGCCTCGGCATTAATTTCTACAGCGTCTGGATGTGGCTGAAAAGGCGTGTTATCTAAGCACGCCCCACCTCTATGACACGGTACACAGTGGAAGGGCAGGGTCAGGACGTCCACTATGGAAATGGGGAGAATGTGAGCCCCCCTCAGTCACTAGTTGATAGCATTCCTGAAGTCCTAGAGGTCAGGCTCTACGGTTCTCTTGCCCTGGCAGGAGAATCAGGGTAGGACTGTGCCCTCAAGGAGGCGTCTCTTTGTGCATTGCTCCCCTTGGCCTCATCTCAAGTGAGTTTTGAGGACCACGCACTCCTTGAACTGACACAGGCTTTGAAACCCACCTTCTGTTCATTCACCGAGCTTGGGGACCCAAGGGTGACTGACATCTTGAACAATCAAAGGCTTTTTTTTTTTAAGTCCAGACTCAAAAATTTAGTAGGTTTCTGATCTCTTTGCTTCCATGTCCCCAGTAACTACATCTGAAATTCTTTTCTAGACGTATTTTGCAAGTTGACTGTAATTCTCTGCCTCTATTTCTCTATGCTTCTGTTTTCAACCCAAGGGCATCTATCTATCTTAGACTCTTTGAAAAATAAGCATGAGGGGTGGCATTCTGAATGTACTTGTGTTAGCCTGACTCCTCTGAGGAGGTTGTGTCTTGACCACCTATGTTGTGTGGCTGCACTTATGAGGGTGGGGTTACACAAACATGGGTTTTATATAGGAAATGAAACTTCCCTGTGGGAGGAAAGGGGGCAGGGTGCTGGAGGAGTGTGTGAGAGCCATCATATTACAACAGAAGTCTGGCCTGGAGTGAAGGAGGTGGGGAAGGCTGAGGTATTCTAGGTAGGGGGGAGGGGGTGTTTTGGGGAGCCATGTAGCCCAAGGGAGGTTTGTCATCATCCTCATCGGAGAGTCTGGTGTCCCCCAGGAATGAGCCCACCATGCTGGCTCAAAGGCTGGGAGCCACCTCTGGGAAGCACGGCCTTCGGCAAACCCAAGAGCACAGGAACTGAAGCGCTTGCTCCATTACCTCCCTGTGGGTGGATGTCTGTGGAGCACATTCTCACCGTGTTTGGTGCCTTAGGTCACTTTAATTACTTTAGAAATTTTATTGGGCACCATCAGGCAAACCTTAAAAAAAAAATCCAATCTCTTGTAATTTGGGCCCTAGAAGGGGATGGTTTTTCCAATCCTACGAAGTCTCAAATTTCTGCGTTCCCTCTATCCCCTTTCATTTCTACTTGCAAAGCGTTCAGTTCTTTCCTGAGCTCATTTCTTCCCCTTTGCAGCTGCTAGCAGCCGACACTCCCTCACTAGCCAGGTTCTGTTTTCCAGTTTCCTGCCCAAGAGCGGCAAGGTTGGGAGGTGCGAGGGTCCACCTTCTCAGTTGCAGCGCCTGTGATTTTGTCAAATGTCTTGCTCTTGTGTGTGACACGGTCCCCTGGCTGTCCCTTGGGCCGGCTGCTTGGGGCCACCTCCCTGCCAGGGCAACGCCACCCGGCTTGCATTTACCCTGCGCCAGGGATATTTTCCTTTTTAGTCCTGGGAATCGATGGCATCAGTCACCGTGGGCAAACCGAGAAATCTCAGTGGCTTAGTAGGCCCCAGGCTTAATCCTTGCTCCCCTTGCAGGCTGATGTGGGTCCGGGCCGGGCTCTGTGTCTCTGATTGCTTGTCTGCAGACAGGGGACAGCAGGGAGGGAGAGGAGGCGCTGGCGCTGTCACCCACCCGCTGTCTGCGGAGCATCTCGGAGGCCAGCCTTGGGCACCGTCTACACCGGCTGACTTGGCAGCTGTGTCGCTTCCTGGGGGGGCGGGGGGGGGAGGTGGGCGGTGCTCGGGCCGGTGTCCCTCTGGAATGCCTTCTGCGGATGGCAGCGGCCCACAGACAGGTGGGGTCAGCATCTGCCAACCCCACTCACTCATCCTGGGCCAATTGGAACTCACACCTGTCCCTTCCCCCTTCCTTCTGCTGTGAGGCAGCGAGTGACAAGCACATCCAGTGGCTCTTGGGGGCAGACGGTGAAGTCTGGGTCTGGATCATGGGAGAAGGCCCCGGCGACAAGCCCTATGAAGAGATCTCGGAGGAGCTGATCGCTGAGCGGGCGCGGTTGCAGGCTCAGAGGGAGGCCGAGGAGCTCTGGTGAGAGGTGCAGATGGGTGCCGGGGTGTCTGGGCGCCTAGGCTGGGTCCAAGCTGAAGGACAATAGGTTGTGGGTGGGAGGGAGAAGGTGCCAAGCTTCTGTTGGGCTCAGCCAAGAGTAGGGGACCACAGCATCAGAGCCTCCACCCGGTGGGTCTCGTGGGTTCAAATCCTGGCCCCACCAGCCAGTAGTGAGCTGATCTGAGGTCTCAGTTGTGGTATCTGTGGTGTGGGCATAATACCCTTCCCATCTGGACGTAGTTGGATTCCCTGAGATAATACAGATGACCTACTTCTCCTTTCTCAGTGGCTTATCCCTGGGATAGTATACGAGTTTGGATTCACTTTTGTCGTCTGCTTGTTTCTTTCCCTTTCAGCTGCATTTTGCACGCAATGCGGATAGTTGAGCCCCCACTGCGATGTGGAGTCAGACGACTTTCATGAACAACTGTTAACTTTTTTTTTTTTGCCAAACTTGGAAATCCATAGGCAGTTGATTCCAACATTCCCCACCCCCTAGCTTTTATTTTATTTTATTTTTAAGATTTTATTTATTTATTCATGAGAGATACAGAGAGAGAGAGAGAGAGAGGGCAGAGACACAGGCAGAGGGAGAAGCAGCCTCCATGCAGGGAGCCCAATGTGGGACTCAATCCCAGGACCCCAGGATCAAGCCCTGGGCTGAAGGTGGCACTAAATTGCTGAGCCACCCGGGCTGCCTTCCCCCCAGCTTTTAAAGGCAGTATTTTATTTTATTACTTTTTAATATATTATTCATTTATTTATTTTAAATTTATTTAAAGGTTTTTTATTTATTAATGGGAGAAAGAGAGAGAGAGGCAGAGACACAGGCAGAGGGAGAAGCAGGCTCCATGCAGGGAATCCGATGTGGGACTTGATCCCGGGTCTCTGGGATCACACCCCAGGCTGACGGTGGCACTAAACCACTGAGCAACCGGGCTGCCCTAAAGACACTATTTTAATTGTCAAATTGTAACAGCAACTCAGCACCCACCACCTAAGATAATCACAGTGAGCGTTTAGGCAGCACCTTGAAGAATTGATCGATAGAGATTCCCAGTGTTATTTGAGATCACGTATGATTTCCTGTTACCTGAGAAACTCAACTTATTGGTCCTGTTGATGGACATTTAGGTTGTTTGCCATTTATTATGTTATAAAAAGCCTCTGCTGAACATCTTCTACCTACACCTTTGTGAAATTGAGTGAGAAAAAGGATTTCTGAGTCTTTCTTCCTCCCTGGCTTCCAGAAAAATTCAGCTGATTTACACTACCATCCAGAACAGTGAGTCTTTTTTGCCCCAAACTTTGCCAACATCGAGTTTTGCTTAGCTTAGGTGTCTGCCAGTCTAAGACCGGGAAATGATGCTCATGGTTTTTACTCGCAGTTCTGTTGTTACGTGGTCCTTCGATTTCCTACTCGGGCTTATACCTCCTGGTGTTCTCTTGGAAGGAGACAGAAGGAGGCAGAAATCACCAAGAAGTTTCGGGATGCTCTGGCCAATGAGAAAGCCCGGATCCTGGCGGAGAAGTGGAAAGTGGAGATGGAGGACAGGAAGGCTGCCAAAGTCCTGGAGGAGCGCATCCGTGAGGAATTCAAGGTGAGCCAGTGCACGGGGCATCTCTGAGCAGCCACCAACGCTCGCGCCCGGGCTACTGGTGCCCATCCCTGGTTTGGCCATTTGTTGGTACTGAGAGCTTTATTTATTTTTAAGATTCTTTTTTTAAAGATTTGGTTTATTTATTTATTTATTCATGAGAGACACACAGAGCGAGGCCTGAGTGCTTTATAAGAACAGAAATCTCACATGTCTGAGCAGGAAGGAATCTGACACCCCATTTGGGCCAATCCACTTCTCATTAGACAGATGAGGAAACTGAGTGTTAAACAGAGGAAGAGACTTGCCAAGGACGTGGTGGCGGAGGGGACAGTGGCAGGATCAGAACTCAGACCTAAAAAAAGAAAAAAAAAAAAAGAACTCAGACCTGCTGTCTCCCAACCCAAGCGACCTGGAAAGGGGCCCAGAAAGTGTGGAATTTGGGGTCAGACCAGCCTGAGATCCAGTTCCAATTCCACTGCTTAGTGCTGTGTGAACTTGTGACACTTGCCGAACGTCTCTGAGCCTTCACTTTCTTGTTTATAATATTAGGGTAATAACTGCATCCAACTTAAGTATTTTGGAGGGTTCAAGAAGATGACAAATGCACATTTCTGGCCCTGGATAGGGAGTTCTTGGGAACCTTACATACCTACTCATTCTGGGACAGTTGGGAGCTGGTAAAGGAGCTTTACACTGCTTAGATTGCCTGAAGAAAATTATTTTTTCCTGGTTCCTATTATGCAATTTTTTTTCCTACAGGAATAATACATTTTTTGGGGGGGTTTAGAAAACGCAAAAAATACATAAGTGAAAAGAAGAAAATAATAATCATGCTGAATTCCAACAATCATATTATTTTATGGATTGTATATTCATTTAAACATTTTAATAATATTTTTTTCCTATACTGATAAGACAATGAGGACAGTGGCCCCTTAGAATCATTTATATGGCAAATATTTTTCTCAGTCTTTTTTTTTTTTTTTTGAGAGTGAGGGAGAGTGAGAGTGTGTGCATGAGCAGAGGAAGGGCAGAGAGAGAGAGGGACAGAGAGAATCTTAGGCAGGCTGCACGCCCAGTGCAGAGCCACACGTGGGGCTTGATCTCACAACCCTGAGATCATGACCTGAGCTGGAATCAAGAGTCAGACACTCAACCGACTGAGCCACCCAGGTGCCTCTCGGTGTTGTTTTTTCTTAATTTTGGTTATTGTGCTTTCAGGTGTACAGAAGATTAAAAGTTTTATTAGCCAACTATATCAGGCTTTAAAAAAATGATTTGTTTCATGCTAAGATCTGTGCCATGACAAGCTTCTAATAATACTAACCCACAGTGTTTTGTATATCACTCATGATTTTATTTCTTTGTACTTCATTTTCTCCCACTTTGGAGAGTGGTATGATATAGGGCTATAACTTTTTTTCCTTCCAGTTGCTTAGCAAATTGTTCCATCTTTGTTTACAAAGATATAATCTATTCTCTCTCTTCTCATTGCGCTTGCTGCCTCAATTCTTCTCACATACCTTGGATCTCTTCATAGATTTTTCTCCTTTGATTATTCTAGAGCCACATTTGCTTGTTTAGTGATCGTGGCTTTTAAAATGAGTTTTCACATCTGCTAAGGTAAGAACCTATCATTGCTCTTCATTTTCAAAATGTCTTTGGCTGATTTTACCCATTTTTTTTCTACTAGAGGTACATTTGATTCATTTTATCACTATCCTCCCCCAGACAACAACAACAACAACAAAAATACATGGTAATTTTAGTTGGAATTACATCAGTGTGATAGATGTATTTGTGGAAGATGGACATATTTTTTCAATACTAGCTTCTTTCTGTGTTTGGTAAAGTGTTTTTGTTTTGTTACAGGGGGTGGGGGTGAATGGGTGACGGGCACTGAGGGGGGCACTTGACGGGATGAGCACTAGGTGTTATTCTGTATGTTGGCAAATTGAACACCAGTAAAAAATAAATTTATTATTAAAACAAAACCTGAAAAAAAATAAACACCTGTAAATGCACTGGCCACCCAATCCCAAACATTCACAATAACTTATATGTGCCAATGTGCTTCCATCCTTTGGACTTCGGTAAAATTTATTATTTTACTTAAATGCTCCACATTTTTTTTTCTTCTTAAACTGTAGGTTTGATATTTTTTGTTTGATTGTGAATAAGATTGTTCTTGTTAAAAAAAAGAGATTGTTCTTGTTGCTTTAAGACCTATTGCAATGGCTGGTTACATATTTATATTGTTATTGATCTTACTGTATTTTCCCTCGAGCCATATATATATGATATACTAATGATATATATATATCCTATATATATATGAGATTCTCTTGAGTCTGTAAGGGAAGCCATATTTACTCTCAAAACATTTTATTTAAAAGTAATTTCAAACTTGCAGCAAAACTGAAAGAAGTACTTGTAGAGTTGCCACTAAAACTCACCAGTTATTAATATCTTGTCATATTTGCATTGTCTCTTTTCTCCTCTCCTCTATAACTGTATCTATCTGTACACACACATATGCACACACATACACACACGCACGTGTATATTTCTGTGGCTACTGCTAAACTGTTTTGCCAAACAGTTTAAAACAAAGTTGTAGACTTCATAAACTCTAGCCCAGGGCTTAGCAAACTCTTTTCCGTAAAGGTCCAGATAGTTAATATATTAGGTTTTGTCAGCCCCGCTGCCTCTGTCACAACTACTCAATCAGCTGCACAAATGCAGCTGCAGATAATATGTGAGCAAATGAGTGTGGCTGCCTTTTAATAAGACTTTATTTTATTTTTAAAAGACTTTATTTGACAGAGAAAGAGAGAGAGAGCACGAGCGAGGGGGAACGTTAGGGGGAGAGGGAGAAGCAGATGCTTAACTAACTGAGCCGCCCAGGTGCCCCCATAAGACTTTAAGTAATAGACAGAGGGCAGATCTGGCCTGGGAGCCTAACTTTGGCGACTCCTGACCAAACCCTGTGTACTTCAGTGTGCATCTCCCAGGACCGTGGACCTTTCCCTGTGGAGCCACAATTGTTATCACACCTGTTGAACAATGATTCCATAATCGTCTTAAAATCCAAACAATCCATAGTGGAGAGATGTTTTAGTTTATATCGTTGGAATTTGCATAGGATTATGTAAGTCTGCTGGAGAGGACAAGCAATACTTTTATGTATCTCTAAGAGCAAGAATCACCTGTTCTAATCCCTGGCCTCCCTCCTCTGCAGGGGTGAGCTGAGTTCCAGATGCTGGGAAGGTGGCTCCGTGGAACTGGTGTCCTGGGGCTCAATTCATGAGGAGATTACAGAGGGGTTTTCTGGTTGATGACCTCCTTGAGAACCTCAGTGAGACAGAGATGATAAATTGTGGGGTGCTTTGCGGGGGGGGGGGTCATGGAGGACTTCATAAAGCCACAGGGCTCACCAAGGGACCCAAATGCAGGCTTTTGGTATTATTTACAAGGAAGGCTATGGTAATGATAAGGTTGTTCTTGTTTTAAAAATGAATTTGCTGAATGTGAAGGTTCAAACTTTAATGCTCGTAGAAAACCTGACTTGGTACGTCTGCATTTTGAGGAGCCTCAGACATGCAGGCAGCACCTGGGAGGCCCTGGTGGGGGGTCCCTGGGGCAGTGTCTGCCAGGACCGTCAGCTCAAGGACTCTGGGGTGGGAAGGTCCAGGTTTATGAGTGAGGGTATTTTCCATAAATGCACTGCCCTTGCATTGTGATGAGATGTTCATCACAGGACCTGTTTTGGCACCGAGCAGTATCTCAGAAGTTTCTGTGCTGGATTAACTATGGCTGGTGGCCAGTCCTTTGTCACTTCCCTCTGCGAGAGGTGGGTTTACTTCTCATCCCTTGCGTCTGCTGTGGCCTTGTGACCAGCTTTGATCTGCAGATGCAGTAGAAGGGACTCTAACTTTGGAGGACAGGCTATCGGAGATTTGTAGAATCTGCCCCCCTTGCAGGGCTCACTTTTGGGAGCTGCCCTACCAGAGGCCCTCCAGCCTTGGTCCATCACTGTGTAAAGTAAGGGAACCCGGGCAAGCCGGGCAGAGATGCAGGGCCTGTGTGGAGGCCATTGAGGCACCAGACACAAGAGTGAAGTGGTTCTCCCGGTGGATGACCCCAGTCAAGTCATTGACCTCAGAGGCAACTGTGTGGAGCAGAAGCGCCACCTGCCAGGCCCTGTCCAAATTATGAACCTGTGGAACCACAAAGCAAATAAAATGATTACTGTTTTAAGCCAGTATGTTTTCTGGGAGTCTGTTACTCGGCAACGGGTGACAAGGACAGCTTTGCCAAAGGGTTTATGTGTTGGGTTAGAGGTTGGCTTAGGTCGTTTTTATTGGGTCTTTCAACCATGGGGCACGAAGGAGCCCCTGCCGGAGTCTGGGCATGAGCGGGGCCCACGTGTCCGTGGGACACGGCCAGGAGGTGTGTGCAATGGTGACCGGTCTGCTGTGGGGAGAGAGAAGCACGTGGTGGGGGAAGCCAGACAGGAACCTGGCGGGGTGGGCGGTGGGGCCCTCGGGGCCGTGGGGAGGAGGTGGCAGCCCGTGAGGATCTGGACACAGAGGAACACGGCTGAGTGCACCCCTACAAGAAGGCCCGGTGGCCACGGTGTGATGTTCGGGCCTGAAGGCCGGGAAGGGGGGCGGTGGGGAGATTTTTGCGGGGGCCGAGGGGGCAGCCAGCGCAGCCTGACCGTGGCGGTACTCAGAGGGACAGACACACAGGAGGCAGGAGGGCAGAGGCAAAATCAGCAGAGCTTGGCACTGATTCGGAGCTGGGCTGCGGGGACCGTGGGGAGGCCACGGGGAGGAGGGTGTGCCGCTGGGCCCGGTGGGGGGGGGGTGATCCGGTGCCTAACAGTGATGATTCCCTTGAAGAAATGGGGGGAGGAACCCAGAATCCGTGTAAGGTTAAAGAGGGAACTTCAAACAACAAGATACAGACAGTTGGAAACCGGTTTTTAAAAACCA